AAATGTAGAGAAAAGAATAAATAAAAGATAGATAAATGAAGGAATTGAGGTATGAGGGAATAAGGGAACAGAAGAATAGTGGAATGAAGGAATAACGACCGACCGACCGGAATATATTTTGAAGGGCTCCCTAAATATCAAGGATCTTTTTTCTGACTAAATATTGAGTATGAAGCCGACAATATCAAGTGTTCTTTCGTTAAAAAAGATTCGTTTTTATGTATTATTATATGTTAAAATTCATAATCTCGCAAAAGAATTGACCAAGAATTTTTTTGTATGTGCAGAACCATACATTTTGTGTGTGTATGATGCTTTTTCATCGATGAAAATCATTGTCACGAAGTATGTTGATGCTTTTGTTTTAAAGAATACATCAATCGATGCTTCAACTCAAGTTATTTAACAACATTTGCACTGATAAAAAAGCTAAATACAACAGATATTTATACTTTATAATATTAAGTCTCTAACAACGCGTTACATCAAAGTTATTCTTTCTTATTGTGTCAATTGTTATTAGATCATCTTTTACTTCGTATTGGAATTATTATTTATTATGGTTAATGTCAATACTATTCAATCAGATACTGTGTTTGCATAGTTTATGTTTATCATGATTATTTGGCGCATTATAATACTTCTTGTCACTGGTATAATAGGACATCATAGGCCATTTTCACCAGGCTTTTGAGCTCCTGAAGACAAAATATTGAAGAAAGGTCATGTCGAGTTTTTGACGACAAAAACTGTTCATTTACTATTTCTTGTAACGTTCGATGATGTTTAAACTAGTGATTTGTGCACCAAATGCACTGTTTTAAAATAATATATTTGAGAACAATACAGCAAAAAACGTTTTATTTCATTTTGAGAGCCACACTAGGTTTCTGATTAATGCTAAATATTATAACCAAAATAAATGATCAACAATTATCGAAAACAAAATTCAATAATTTCGACTTATTTTTCCTTGTCACGAATAACACTATGACACACGTGTTCAGTATTAACGATCTATTAAAATTTCGAAAATAACTATAGAAATTTGATCTTATGATCCGAGTAGAATCTGTAATGGAGCATCCTTTAAAAAAAAAGGAGATCAACATTTTATTGTGTTTCTGAATAGAATAAAATGCAACACTTTTGTCACATCTGATATATTGTACGTGCTATCATATTTAGTATGTGTTTTTATTTTATTTTCTATAGCATAAGCAGATCTCTATCTACATACGTATATAAATATCAACGATTGGATATTCTTACTATGACTAGAATTTTAAAAATTCAATAATAAGATGAAAAATTTGTCAACTTCGTTTGAAATAATATTTGTAATTGTTTTCAACACTTTATACCTCTATTATTCGATCGATGGCTCAAATACTCGTGTATTTGTTTTCTCTCTCTCTTTCTGTTTATTACTTTAAACACAATGACAATATATTTTTCTATACAAGAACAAAAAATTAATTTAATTTTTACTAATAAATTGTTCCTCGTATTTGACATTTTTGTTCACGTGTACGCATCTTTCGACGAACATTTCGAATACGTGCTGATAATCGAGATGTAATTAAACCCTGTTTAAAAAAAAACAAAATCGAATTTATCATTATCATAAAATATGAAATGTAACATTACATGAGGATTAATTGTATCTTCACATGCTAAACATGGATATTCTGTAATAAGTGCAATACCAATTTTTTTATATTCTACACCATGAGTTAATTGTGGATAAACATTCATATAAAAATCAGCTGCTTCTCGAATTAATTCATTCATAACTGGCTCAGGATTACCTTGAAAAATAAAAAGATATAAATTAATAATATAAAAATAATTTACCCATGACAAGCTCATGTTGAACTTTATCACTAAATGTTGGTAATAATGGTCGATCGGGAATTCGACTAAGACCAATTTCCTATGCAAAAAAAAAATTTTAATTAATTATAAAGAATGATCGCAAAATTTTTTCAACAGATTGTTTATTCACTTTTGACCTAATAGAGAATATTTCTGATAGAATCAAAAGGGATGAATTTGAGTACGTGCAGAGAAATTTTATTCGAGAATAATGAAATAATTTTTGAAAAGATCAAAAAAAAAAAGAATCAATTTCGACGAAATATTTTTAGTTTCGATTCGAAACTGCACTATTTTCTTGTCTTTTGACAAGGCACCTCAATTTTTGAAAAATTGACAACTGTTTTATTACATTATATATTTTGACTCCATCGGAAATATTTTCTAGCAAATAAAAAACAAAAGAAGTTTTTAGTTTTACTTCATTATTATTTATTAGTATTATTGATTGAGATTGTTGTCGTGATGATGCATAATGATCAAGTTCATTAAAAGTTTCATCATTTGTTGAAGTACGTGTACGTTGATGAACTAATGGATTTCGATTAATAATATTTGATGAAGATCCTTTACTAATTGTTGTCTTTTTTGCTACACGTCGACGAGGAAATGGAGGATCTGATATCGGATTCTAAACAAAGAGAAAAATAATTCGAAAAGAAAAAACGAAGAAGTTGTTTTGTTTTTCTTGATGAATTAGCATACTGATTGATAATCGGTACGTGTTAATTTGAAAACTTGTTCATTATCATCCTGAAAATTTTGAAATAAAATAGAAAAAACATTTTTATCTTTATAATTGAAATAGAAATTCTTACAAATGAAGGACTTCGTTCACGTCGAAAGTTCAATCGTTGAGAAGGAACATTAGACAACTATAAATAAAACATAATGATTGAAATGAATAAATAAATGAAATTATTCTACTTCAAATGGTCCTTGAGAGCCATCATTAGAAGCAAGAAAATCATGCAGAAAAATAGTTGATGAAGACATTACGGTAGGTTTTAAGAGCAATGACAAAAAAAAAAGAAGAATCTTAGTTTCTTTTTCATTGGCTGAGTACTTAAACCAATTTTTAAAACGTGTTAGATGTCCGTCTGTGCTACGTGATTGGATTTTAAAGATGTCTCTGTTAGAACAATTTTTTTTTGGACACGATTTTCAATATAAACTCAATTCATTGATATGATAAATAACCTATGATGCGAAAATTTTAGCACGAAATGTTCACTCATTCTTCGATCACAGGTTAGAGTTAGTTAGAATTAGACTTTTTCGTTGTATTCTGAATATTGAGCGAAAATGGGATATGATCATCATTGATTTGATTTGGATTCTTTATAAGTTCTCTTTCTATGAATATATGTCAAAATATTGGTTCTTTCGGTTCATAACTAATTAATTAAAATATAATTAGTGAATAATTCTCTAGTCTTATGACAGAGAAGTCCAAGAATTTCAGAATAGACTTCACACAATAGAGTATATCTATGATGGAATTCTTAGCAAGATTGTACACGAAAACCGATTTTCCAGAGATCTGTCATAACCTGAGACAAAGATTTTGTTGTTTTGATGTCATCTCGTAATCTCCAAAAAATATTTACATCATTTAGAATTGGTTATTGAGAATTTCAGTCAGTTACAAATGAATTTTTCGTTTCTATATTCGTACTTCCTCACATTCAATGTTTTGATACATCTAGACATGTTCACAAAAAACACTTTATATTGAAATTTTGTAGCTTGAAGAATTCTCTACAAAGCGCACTATATAGTTTTCAAAATTTCATAGAACTAAGTTTTTCAGAATATCTAGAGTAATTCAATATACATCTGTTACATAAAAATTAGTTACAACAAATGCACAAGTGCAGACATGTAAGTGTTTTTTTTATTTCGCGGAGCCAAATTGCTAATGAATGCAATTGTCCCAAGTTGATATATAAATAAAGATCGCAATAAAAATTTTCCGCAGAAACTGACTTTTTTTTTGACATTTTCAAAGATTATTTCACTACTCTCGAACAAAATTTCTAAGCTCATATTCGAAAAGAACATGAACTCCTAACTGTTGAATCCGCCGGAAATACTTTTTAGTGGGTTAAAAGTGAACAAAAAAAAAAAATTTCCGCGTACCGATTATTATATCATTGCTTCAAAAGGTTCAATTTCGTATTTTAATTGTAACAAATCAAATTCGAAATGTGAAACAGGTTATTGATAGGTATTTAATCTTACCGCAGACGAAAAATCTAAACATATATTGGGAAATAACGAAAAATTCTGATTCTAATCAATTGTCTTTTAGTAGCCGAAAAGTGAGCGAATATTTTGTCCCAAATTATTTACGTCTTACATTATTAACAAAAGAAATATAATTACGAAACATATTTTCTAATATCGTGATTCTCGAAAATTTTGAAATTTCTCTTGACAAAAAAAATATGATACGTTGTAAAATATCTGTATGGTGATTTTTCAAAATAAAATTGGAACATTTTTAAATGTCACTCGAATTGATTTATCATCGTTCTTGAGACAAAATTCTATTGAAAAATGAGTTATTTACTTTTTTAATTTTAGTAGAAAATACATGTCTCCTTCAATCCATCAGACACAGACTGTCTTATGAAAAAACATATTCTACTTCATAGTTTTCTTCCAGGATATCTTATGTTATTAGAAATTAATATACTTCATTTGAACTTTGCTATATGACAGCTCTTAGTCCCATTAAAAGGAAAAAACTAAAGTTCCTTAGGTGGAATTCAAAAAGATAAATAGTCATATGAAATGAATCAAAACAACTTCATATAGTGTTTTTCATTTATATATATCAAATAAATAGAATGACCAAAAGATCATTCATACCATGAATTCGAAGACCATCGTAGGGCTATTCAACATTATGGATTATCATCTCTTACAAAATGACACTGCTTTTTACTACTGTCATATATATATATATATATCGTTTTTTCGTTTGTATTAAAAGTTTCAATTCATATACAAGATTTTCTTTTTAGGTACTAAAACTGACAATTCTTCATTTAACCCATTCGACCCGATGAGACCCACCGGTGGGTCTCATCGGGTCGAATGGGTTAGGATACATATATATGCTGCGATATCTATATATGAATTATTGAAACAGTCTTTACATTAGATAAATAAAATGAGTTAAAATATATAATAAATAGTCTTTTCTTGTTATAGATATAAAAATAATCAAAAATATTGCTGTCACTTATTAATATATATATGGGAATAAAGTTTGACAAAGTGAATCTAAATTCGTCTTCAATGATCTGTCCTGCATATTTAGTTGACTTAAATAAAGCAGGAAGTGTTTATCTTGTTAAACACAAATCAAAAACAGAAGAAAAAGAAAATGATTGTGATAAAGCAACACATTTTGGTTTAGCAATCGATGTAACAGGTACTCTAAAATAATGTTGTTTTTTATTAATTAAGCTTAGCTGTTGCTCTTACAGGTTCATCAACAAGTGATAAATTTATTGCTACACATATTGATCTGTATATTCATGATGAGACAGATCATACTACTTACATCGATTCAACTTTCAATCATCGTGAATGGCATCATTATCAATTAATCAAAAAAGTTGGTCAAATATCAATTAATGATATAAGAATGTTTCATTCACCAATGCATTTTGCTAAAAATTTGGAACATCGATTAATATTTTATATTTTTAATCCTATGTGTCAACAAAATCAAGGTGCTCATTGGTCTTCCACATTAAATTGTCAAACGTTTACACGTTTGGCTATCGAATATCTCGGTTATGAATTTCCACCAGATGTTAAAATCATAAGTGATTGTGTTCCAACAATGATAAACATTTACATGAAGGCTTCTCTTTTAACAGCTCATACAAAAGAAAAATCATATGATAAATTATCCAGTTAAAAACTTGTAATTTAATATGATTTAGATTTTTTTTTCTGATAAAATATTTCAGTTATATATTTTGATATTAAACTTTATTGATAAATGTTCCTCTAAAATATATTGTCAAATAAACTCATTTAATCAGAATATATCATTGTTATTCAATCTAATTATAAAACTGTTCAAAAAATCTTTTCAACAAAAAATTATTTTCTTTTCTAAGTGATCTATTGTTCTGAATAATTTGGTACAATCAATCAATTTCCAGAACATTCAATTGACAACAAAAATCTTTTCTACGAAAAAAAAGTATCCAAAACACGATGAAATTTTCATCTTTAAAAGCATTTCGAGAAAGAAATATGTCATCTCTGATGGTATCGTATTTTGTCAAATCGATGATAGTTTAATCAATCATTTTTCATTTGACCCATTCGACCCGATGAGACCCACCTGTGAGTCTCATCGGGTCGAATGGATTAATCCTTATTAATAACTTAGGAAGATTTATGTTTAAAATCTTGATTTTCAATATATAAATAAACGAGATATTCTGTTTCTTCTTTTTGATGTACCTAAAAATGGCGAAAGTTTAAAATAAGACAAAAAAAAAGAGAGATAGAGAGAGAGAAAGGAGCAAAAGTTTTTCAAAAAAAAAAAGAAAACCATAAGTAAGAAGAATTACAGACAATAATAACAACACCGAGAACAACAGCACAAAATTAGTCAGAACTCACAGGATATAAAATGAAAAGAAAACAAAAAAAAAAGAAAGGTAAGACGGAAAGAAAAAAAGATCAGAAGAAAAGACGTGATAACACAGATCTATACATTAAAAGAGATATTGCTGCCAAAAAAAAGAAACGCACAGCTATTAATAGAAGTCAAAACAAAGAAAAAACGAAAAACAAGAAAAATTAATGAAAACACATACGAGATATGTGTTGAAAATCTTTAAAAAAAAAAGAAAAAGAAAAGTTTGGTTTATTATTTTTTTTTTTTTTGGTCATTAAAATTTATTTAGAATTCTTCAAATTCTTTTCCAAATTTTTCCGTTGTTGCAATACGAACTAAAATTAAATTGCAAAATAAGAAAAAGTATTCAATTTTAAAATTTTCTTACGTGGTTCTTCTTCATATTCATCAAAATTACTTGCATCACCTAAATACAAACAACAAAACAAAAAAAAAAGTTGATAATAAATTCATAAATTTTCAAATAAAACAAACCGGGTCCTTTTGTTTTCGGTATAAATGGTGCTTCTACTTTTCGTTGATATGTAGCAATCCAATCTGTAGCTGAAAACCATTTATGAGTTTTAATATCATCAACACCATTTTTTAAATTTCCAAAACGTTTTGTTAAATCAACTTGAAGAAGATTGCGTAATAGATCTTTTAAATCACTACTAAAATGTGATGGAAATCGAACCTAAAATTTTTTTTTTAATTCAAATATATATATATATGACTGTAGAAATCTTCTTACTTTTCCTGATACAATTTTTTCATAAATTTGAATTGGTTGATCAGCAAAAAATGGTGGATAACCCTAATCAATAATACAAAAAATATTACGATTCTTTATTTTATTAAATAGAAATCTTAAACATACAGCTGACATTTCATATACTAATACACCTAATGCCCACCAATCAACTGCTTTATTATATCCTTTTGATAAGATTATTTCCGGTGCCAAATATTCTATTTAAATATCAAGTAGTTTTTCTTTTTATTAGATATTCAACAAAATTTTGTTTTTCTTTATTATACCTGGTGTACCACATAATGTCCAAGTTCGACCTAGAATTAAAAAATATATGTATATATACGGAATGAGAACTTTACATAATATATTTCATATCACAATCAAAAATAGGCAGGAACTACCCAGAATTTATCTATTGATAGCATTTTTAATTGTATCAAAAGAGACAGTTTTCATCATTAGTTGATTGTCGGTCGTTCTCATCTTCAGCTAGATACTTGTCTTCGAAGATAGTATGAACTTAATTTAAACGAATATCGATCTATGTTGTCATCGATATGATATTTTGTTGAAAGAAAGATATTATTAATTAATCGATCTATCAAGGATAGAATCGATTCGTGTTTGTTTTTTTCTCTTTTGGTGTCTATCCCTCATCTCTACTACATTATATTATGTTCTAGATATCAGTTTGACATACTAATGTGTTTATTATTCTTTGATAATGATATTTCGACATTGTAAGAATCAATTAGCCTACAGTGCTAAGATCTTATCATAAAATATCTGTTCCTGTTTTAGCCATTAAAAAAAAACAACTGATTAGAATCAGAATTTTTTTTCGTTATTTCTGGATATATATTCCGATTCTCCTTCTGGGGGGGTGGTAAGATAGTATAACTATTAATAAATTTTCTGAAAAAAATTCAAAGTAAAATAACATTTTTCTTGCAGTTCTTAGTTTATGTTTCAGAATCGTTGTAATTCAATATTATTGTAGAGCATTGAATAATAAAAAACAAAATGACGGAATATTTTGTAGTAAAACATTTACATTATAGCTTAATGAGAAAAAAAAACATACGAAGAAATTTTTTTATTGCTTCATTTTAAATGCATGAGCTATTATTGATATTTGAATATGAGAAAAGAAATTTCGTTAGTAACCTTTGTTTTTTCTATTTTGATAATGCACTTAATCATCGGAGCCTTTGAATTAGACAATAAGATAATCATTTTTTTATTTTGATGTTTTAAAAGAAATAAATTGTATAATGATAGATCAGTCGACTTGAAATGTCTTTAATCGAGACAATCTCATAATGCAAAAAGGATATGATTGAATAAATTCTTGGCGACAAATTTAAAATTCAATAAAGTTTATTAACTACTTAAAAGAAATCGCTTAAACTTATATGTTGTTTTTTTTTTTTAAATAAATCATTAAAATAATTGAATACCTTTAATTTTTTTGGCAAAACCAAAATCAGTTACTTTTAAATAACCTTCAGCATCGATTAATAAATTTTCAGGCTAGAATTTTAGAAATTTATTTTTTTGTTTTCTTTTAAATATTAAATATTTATTTTCCTACTTTAAGATCTCGATAAAGTATATCTAAATAGTGAAGATATTCAAATGTTAATACAATTTGAGCAGCATAAAATCGAGCATGTTGTTCACTATAACATATATAAATATAAATAAATAAAAATTTTATTTTAATAAAATACCTAAATCGACCGACTTTACGTAAATGACTAAACATTTCACCACCGGGTACAAATTCCAAAACCATATACAAATAGGAATTGTCCTTTATGAATAAATAAAATTAGAAAATAAGTTTTTTTTGCTCAAAATTTTCTACTCTAAAATGATAATCCAAATTGACAAGAAAAGGAAAAGAAATAGCTTGAAGAATACGTTTTTCATTGAGTGTATGTTCAATTTGTTTTAATTTAACAACCTAAAACAAAAAAAAGGAAGTTTTTCTTTTCTTTTTTTTATTAGAATATTACTTTTTGTTTGTCAAGAATTTTCATTGCATAGAAATTTCCATTTGTTAAATGTTTAACAAGCATAACACGTCCAAATGAACCTTAAATTAATTTAAAAAAAAAATAATATTCAAAATTTTATATTAAATTCTTCTCTACCTGTTCCGAGCGTTCGTATACGTTCGAAATCTTCGGGTTTGGCAGTATTCTAAATTACAATGAAAAATATTATCAATGAAAAATTTAACTAAACATTATAATTTTAGCATACTCTCTTATTACCATAACTAATTGTTGGTTATATACAACTAAGAGTTTTCTATGTCATGAAGTAATTAAATATTCTCTAGTCTGATTTATATAATCGTCTTGTACAAAACTCGAGTTTAAATTTTAATGAAAATGTATAGCTATAATAGATTTTCGTTTGTTTAATATGATCCAGGTCAAAAAAAGAAACCCAACGTAAGAGCTTACAGACACCGAAAATTATTCATATATGTTTATTAAATTGCTTTACAAGGTAATCGTTTCATATTTCCCGTTCTGATTTCAGGCATGTTTTTTTTTGCATTTGAAGGATTTCGAATACAGTAGCTTGCATCAAACTTTGTACTATAAGACCATTAAATGGATACTAAGTTTCAAGATAAAAGATTCACAAATATGATTTTTTCTTCTTGAAGGTCTAGACTCCTCTACAGAACTTTCTAGTAAATAGACATATTAAAGATTCAATAGTTTCATAAGAACTCACAAGCTTTTAGAGTTTTCACTCATCCATTAACTACTATCTATAGGTGAGATATAAAAAAAAAACAACAATTCATTGAAGTCTGAAGGAGAGTATTTGAAGAGTAATGTTGTTCATAAGTATGATAGATACTTTTTTATATTTCTTCATTCTATGTGGGTTTTTTTTTGGCATTGAAATTCAGTACAAAAATAATGATGAGTTCAACAAAATTTTTATAAGATAATAGTGTGTATACTCCCTCATCATCTAATAATTCATACCTTTATTGACATTTTATAATTTATTAACATTCATATTCATGTTGATTTTATATATAGACCATCAAGATCGGTTGTCCTTTTTTTTTGTTTTTTTTTTTTAGAAAATATTTAACAGAACAAGAACTAAATAGAAGACAATTGAATGTGATATTGATGATGCGTAGCAAGAAAAAAAAAAGATTTTTTTTTTCTTTTCTCTTCTTCTTCATATCCTAATTACTAACTCAGCCATCAAAATAGACATACATTATAATTTTTCTATTTTTCAACTAAAATTTCTTTCTATTTTTAAGCTTTTTTTTTATGTAGAGTATATTACCTGGGTTGGTTTGTCGTATTTAACTTGAAATTCATCTTTAGCTTTAGCTAAAAATGCTTTGACTAAAATAAAATAATAAATTAATTAATTAATAATCTGTAAATATGTATATTTATTTCCTAAACTTACAACTACCCCTTTCACATGAAGCAGCAGCGGCAGCACACATTCTTATTTTTTATCGAAAAAAAAACGCTTTATACTTACATACACTTCACTTGTTCCTTCTTAGGTAAATTTTTCAAACTTGTTTCATATGATTTATATATAGTACATGTTTGCTTTCTTTCAGAAGTGTAATTAAAAAAAAAAAACTTCGAGTGTGTAGGGTGAATAGACAAGAGAACTAAGATGGTAATAAGAAACAACTACTGTATGTATGCAATGAAAAGGAAAAAAATCCATCTTGATCATTAGTTTCATGGTTCGTTTACAATTTGCAATACGAGAAAGATGCACTTCTTTTTTTCGTTTGGTTATATTGGAGGTTTGAAAATTTTTTTTTTTTTTTTTTATTCATTTTTTAATAAAAAATGATGACAGCCGAGCTAGTTATGAGAAAAATATCTAAATTTAATAATAGTTTTTAAATTGTTAAATATGATGAAGTTGCAATTTGTTTTGTTTTTTTCTTTTATATAATAGATATATCTATTTATTTGAACTAGACACTTTTGTTTTCTTTTTTTTGTTTAATTCTTTTATATCAAATTACTTTTCTATAAATAGAATTTTCTTTTGACAAATAGAAATCCAATCTAACTAATTTAGATAAATCTATTAATGTATCTACATTAAGTCGTCATTCATCTGTTTAAAGTTTATATTAAAACTAAGTTATTTTTAGATCATAATTGTTTGTAAATTAGGATATATCTTTGATGATAAACGGATATCTAATACAAGAAACAGAATAAAGATTAGTCTTAATGATAAAAAATGCGAATATAAATATTGTTTATTATAGAAAAATGTTCTATGTATTACTATTATACATTATCACAGCATGTCAGCTGTGCTAGTAAAGCTATTTGCCGTCTATGTTTTGTTCTGTCTATCTTATTACTATCATGTCTTTTTCAACAGCATATAAGAAGCCTTGAAAAAAATCGATGATGATGATGGTAATAACGACGATGTTGACGAGAAAATCTGGATACAAAAACAAATCAATATGTGCGACGTGCGCACAAGTATGAATAGCAATTGAATCAACAACAAGTACTAGTAATGATACCATAACAATCTTCAGTCTTCTCCTTTTCTGTTTTCTTTTTCTTTCGTGATGTTATTTTTTTTTTTAATCATATTTAGTACACTGAACACAGAACAAGTACGAGGAATTACTATAACGACTTATATAATTGGGAACGAAAGAGTGAGAGACAGAGACAGAGAGAGAGAGCGAGAAAGAAAGAGAAAAACAACAAAGTTAGTTTATGTGCGTCAACATGTTGTAGTTATGGAAAATAACATGAAAATTTGTTGTCAAACATATAACTCTTATATATTACATTCATAATCGATTTCTATGTGTACACGTCACCTTTATATCCAGTTTCTTTTTATTTTTTTTTTCTTCTTTCCTATACAGATGAAAAATGATTGTATTCACGAGACGAACACAAATATTGTAACATGTATTTGCATACTTGCAGTGATTTCCAATGGATAGCCACTTTTACTTTTCATTTAAAACTCTTTTCTTTAGTCATCATCGAACGGTTACGAGTATTCATGTATATAAGAAGAGAGAAAGAGAGAAAGAGAGAGAGAGAAAAAATGGAAGATATGTAAATGTCAAAGCACATAGACAAAATATCATTTTTGATCTATTGATGGCAATGTATATCTAAATACTTGTGTGCATGTGTGTGTGGGTATGTCAAAAAATGAAAGAGATAAGATAGATTATAAATATTGAATACCTTTTTCAGCTGATTGAACATTGACTGATGTTGTATTTGTTGTTATAGTTGATGATGATGATGTTGAACCTTGATGACGATGTGAATCACTTAATGTTGTATGTTTACCATCAGCTGAGGTACTAGTTCTAAGTGATGATGATGATGACCCATCTTTTTCTTTTTCTTTTTCTTTCTCTTTATCTTTTGATTTTGATTTATCACTTAATTTTGATGATATACGTTCTCTGAGCGCCTGCATAACAGACAGAATAATCCTGTCTGTACGTAACGTATAATACTAGTAATAAGATACTTCCTATGTGTATGATACACTGTCTCTTTGTTCTATGTTGTTAAAATAACAATGTCGGTAGATTGTTGTTGTTGTTGTTGTTGTTATTTTTTTTTTGCTTCTGGTTGTTAGTGATGGTAGTGATGTTGGTATAGTGTAAACGCACAGTCAGTAAGCAGTCAAACGGAGAGAAAGATAGATAGTCTATCGGTTTTTTTTGATTTCTTGTGTATGAGCGTGGCGCGTCGACGCGAGAGATATTTATCGCAATATCTTTCCGACACAACGAACGAACAAGCGAACGAACGAACGACGAGAACGAGAAAGAACCAGTGTGCAAATGCGCAAAGAATGAGAAGAGAGACAGAAAGAGAGAGAGAGAGAGAGTAGGGGAGAGAGCAAGCAAGCAAGCGAAAAGAAACAAACGTATAAGTAAGGAAGTATAAAAAGAAATAGCAACGAAGGTTGACTCTTTTCTATGTATATATATATATATATATTTCTTGGTACCGATACAGAGACGTTATTATTATGTCGTTAGGATTGTCAAATCAAGAATGTAACTTTGTCCAATCTAAATTGATTGTTTATCTGTTGTTTTTTTTTTCTTTTTCGTTCGTTCTCTATATGTCGAGAAAAGATTTTAATCGTTTGATCAGCAACTTTACTTTCGCTCTTCACAATAATTTTTTTCTTTTATATGTCGATACTGAAAAGAAAAAATGTTGACACCCTTTCTTCTCGTTCTCTTTCTTTTTTGTATTACTTTTACAGGTACTATTCAAATATACTATATAACATGCATGATTTTATGATTTCAACCTTTAAATATATTTATACTTGTAAATATGCTTATATTCCAGTTCAACTATATAATTATATCGTTATGATTCATACAATAAGAATTGGATTGACGTCAGATAGAGATAAAATAAAACAAAAAAAAAACACAAAAAAAAAAAAAGAAAGAAATGAAGAACGAGTATATGATAATGCTCGGTGAAGCGTCACACATGTGTGCGCGTATATTTGTAGGACACAGATTATTATCTTCGATTTGCTGGATGAAGTTCATCTCTCTTTTTTTTTTTTTTGCTATGATAGACATCGACTAATGTCCTTATACAAATTATCGTATTAGTTGCTCGAGGCAATTCGTTGATGTGTATATGTAAAAAAAAAAAAGAAGAAATGGTTTTAGGTTAAATCTATGATAAGAAATATATATTCACATGTACTAAGAATTTAATGTCATTATGCTTATTTAATTAAATTAAAAATATGAAAAATAAATAAACTTTCTTTTTTTCTGTTTAAATTTTAGATTTAACAAGATGCTTAACTATTCGTTTTATATTATAAAAATAAAAAAATATCCGAGTTTTTGATAGATGTCGCTATGTATCACAAGTTTATCGAAGTTTTGTAACAAAATTTTCTTTTTTATGCCATTTTTTCTATTAAAAATAATCAATTTTTCTATGTCTCACAATATTGTATACAGTGGATGATATCATTTTCACATGACAGTTGACGATTAAGAATAAATGATGAGACATTGTAAGCAAAAAAAAGAGAGCAAGACAAAAATCTTTTTGACATTTGTGCATTTATCATTTTTAATATGAGAAAACAAGAAGAAATCAAGTTTCTTTTTTTTTTTCTATAGTTATTATTCTTTTCCATATCAAGAGTTGATTTATTATATGACGTTTGTTGTTTCCTATATGCTTTTTAAATCTTAATTTATTACGACACCTATCTTCCTTTTTTTTTTTCATGGCGTGACCTTCATGCGTGCAAATAATGAATTCTATTGTGATCATGACAGTGATGAACAATGACCTATTTTGGTCTCTCTCTCACTCTCTGTCTATATAAAGATATTTAATTTGACAACTATCTCAAGTGTCTAAAAGAAAAAATATTATTGTCATTTAATCTTGTTCTTTGAAAGTCTTTCTAAAGTAAATGCGTAGGAATAAAATAGAAATTTTCATGAGTGTACGTGTATGCAAATATGAATTATTGTTTTTTGTCGATTTCGTTCTATGATTAAAAATTAACATGCTTATGTTCCGGATTTATAATCACAAGGTTTTTTTTTTTGTGTTTGTTATATAGTAAAAAAGATCAAAATCTGTGGTTGATGATGATAAAAAGAACTAAATTTAGATTGAACTTATTAAAATAGAATTTCATTTCTTTCTTTCGATGTCATTTAATCTTTAGGATTAATTTTATCTGAAGATATCGAATGACTGTAGGAGGATAAACGAAGTAGAAAAACTATATTTAGTCTTATATATTTTGTACTTACAATAATCAACTGAATAATGCGTAGAATAAGTAGATAGTGATACTAAACCAGTATGATCATCAATTGTTGTTGATGCACCTGCTGTTGTTATATTTGTTGATATTCCACTAGCATTTGTTGAACTAGCAGAATCATCGGTATTCAAAGAACTTGTTTCTTTATTTTTTTTATATTTACGAGATGGTCGAAAGCGTTCTTTAAACGATGGCATTTTACTATGATCACGATATGAACATCCGATAATAATCCAAGTATTGTCGATGTCTGTAACCCTTTTCTTCTCTCTGTCTCTCTCTCTGTCTCTGTTTCCCTTTCTTTCTCTATTTTTCTCTTCTCAATAGCAGATGAACACTAGACTAAAGCGGGAGTGTCACAACATATTACTTCTTCGTCAGTGTGTTTTCTATTATTTAGTTCTTTTTTCTCTTGTTTTTTTTTTTTGCTTTTTTCTCTTTACCGCGTCAAACCCTCACGCGTTAAAAGATATCTATAGTTACAAGTGGTATGTCATTAAAATCTCTCTCTCTCTCTCTCTCTTTCTTTCTTTCGTTTGGCTTCCGTTGATATTAGATAAAATGTGTTGCACGAATTTAATGCAAACTAATCATATCTCGCTTCGTTTTTTGCTTTGATTTTATTGGTACTCGTCGAAAAACATGATGAATTTAATCAATCGGAAACCATGTATATATATGTATATTAACTATATGTATTGTCATTTTTGCTTGTTCTATTCTCGTTTATAAGTCTTCAAGGAATTCTTTCGGAAATAACTAGAAAGTATGACTATACTAAAGAGATTTATTAAAAAAAGAAAAAGACAAAAAAAAAAAATTATCATTTTATATCTAAAATAAGGCATCATTACTTTGCAAGTATACACAAGATTAATCCCAATGATTAGTTATTTTTTCTATGATAAGGAGAAAGAAAAAAAAAGAAAAGATACCACTTGACTAAGATGATAATTAAAGAAAAAGACTAAGCTTAAGTATGATTATCAGTATGTCTAAAAGAAAAAAACGTCTCATATAAGATTCTAAAAAAGAAAAAACTAATCTATTGGAATATGGTGTATTTTTTTTTGTTATAATTCAAATTTATGAATTGAATTAGTTCAACTATCCATAAATCGATTTCGAACTATTACATTCTAACTAATTCTTCGTTTGCAATGCTTTGATGCATGAATAATTATAATTAAATATTAACATAAATGAAAAAAAAAATATCTATATATCAGATGAACTAATATCATAAAAGATTTTGTTGAATAATAAAATTAGATAAAATAAATTGAATAATTGAATTATTTTCTATTTCAATAAACAAATAGTTTAGTTGATATAAATCAATATGCAAAAATACAAAAATATTCAATGAGAATATCTCATTTCATTAATAATTATTTTACTATATAGTATAAAAAAGAAATCTTTTTATTTCTCCAATGAATTTAGAATATGATAAATTGCAAGAAAATAAATATTGTCAAGATGGAACAAAGGTAATAACTAAATGATTAATGTTAGGAAGTCGCCCAGTTTGTAAGTCGAGGATATATGCATCATCTAGATCTAAATAACCATTAAATACCTTGAAAAAATATTCGAGTCCTTAGCGTATTACTACAGAGATACTACATTATTACGGTATTTTTTAAATTAATACCATGGACGTTTCCTCAGGAAAAGTGCCTTTCAACGTGAAACTTTCTATAGAAACAGATCTTACTGAGAATAGCTTATGGTAAAAGTTTTGAATACGTATAACAACTGCGAACACTCATTCTGGACTGCACTTTTTGTTGTCAACTGGAATGTAGTATGGATGTTTGTACTCATAGAAAAGATTATATTCTAGTGGAAAACAAAAGGTGCAACTTAGAATGAATGTTCGTAATTTTTATACCTATTCGAAACTTTCACCATACACTATCCTGGGTAAAATCCTTCTCTATGGAAATTTTCAAGTCAAAAATCAGTTTTTCTGAGAAGGAGGACCACAGCATTCATTTAAAAATACCGTAAAAATGCAGCATCTCCACAGCAATAAGGTAACGACTGAGCTTTTTCAGAATATTGATAGCTCATTTGAGTGAGTCTATATAAAGCATATAGTTCTAAATCAAAAGCGATTAATCAGTTAAGGAAGTTCCCTCATGAGTTGTATGAAATATGATGTATTTTTTGAAGAATGAGAAATCAGTTTAGATTAACATAATCGATAAAATTCTATTAGCTGATAGTGATTATATAGCATCAAATAATAATATATCATACGATATACATGTGTTAATGGTATATTTATTAAATTAAATCATTCAAATTTATTAGGAATCAATGATTCCTTGTTTAGTTGTAATATTCCATTTATTGCATGTTGTTGAATCTTAAGAGTTAAACCTTCCAATAAAACTCTATGAAAAATTTTCAGTACAACGTACAAAATGGAACTAGTATATTATTTAATCAGAATCGTATCTTAAAATCTATCATAGCATTATAATTCTTGCTGAAATGATTACAATTCATCACGAGATTTTGTCATATTTATTTTTAGCAATCATTAAAATCCGTTAGTCGAATTTCTTGTCTCAGAATGTCATCAACTTTTTAATTTGATAAAAGGATGAAAATAATCAACAAATTGAAATTCATGTAAATATAATAATTTTCTATGCACATCATTTTTTTTTTCTTAAAATGTTCCACAAAAGAACAAAAACAAATTAACGAAATCGACTCTATGAACTAATCATTATTTCGGTCAAGAAAATTACTTTAACAAGTCACGCAAATCTCTCTGCAATTACGAATAAAAATTGCACAAAAACAAAATATTATTCATAGGATATTTAATGAATAAACAATAAACAATAATTCTTTTCGTATCATTAAAATATCTTTCTTTCTATTTTGAAAAATTCATTTAAAAAATAAAAACATTTATCTTTTAATTTTCTACAAGAAAAAAAAAACATCTATTGATTGCATCTTTTAAATTCTTTTTATTTAATGTCTATGTTTTTTTTTTTTTATTAACTTCACTTCGATGTAATTCATGAGGTTAACCAAATTATCTTATATATTAAATTTCAATGAAACTAAATCTAGACGATCGGGACATCGATAGACTTTATCGATAAATAATATATACTAATCTTTACATTATCATTAGGGATCTATTGATTCTTAGAACGTGATATCAAAGATAATGATTTCTTTTTTTTTCTTTGTAATAGTGTTATTCCCTGTAGATTATTTATATCAATCATGGTCAGGTTTATTTTATTCTATCCAAAGCGTTGTCATGAAAACAAAGATGTTAGAATTGATTGAAAATTTGCATTTTCTTTTTTTGACTAATTAATTCTGAAAGTTTTGCTTTATATTCTATGACAATTTTAGATAGAAATAAAAACAACTCATCAAGACCGGTATAAACAATCGATAGGGAATTACATTCTTAATAAGAAAAAACAAAATTATCTTTGACATCATGCTATAGAGATTAGTTCATTCCTAATCAGGACTATGTTATTTTTGTCATCCACAATTTACTAATAGAAACTACTGGCTTTCTTAATAACTTCAATTCTACTCTGTAGAATTATGCTGTATTAGATAGACTCAAAGATAGTATAAACTAAACAAAAGTTAAATAGAAAAAAAAATTGTAGATGTATTCATAGCGAGTAATAATATGTACATTAGGTTAAAAAAATGAAAGTGAACTTTTTAGAGATTTGAATAGTAATTTATACACTTTGATTTTGATGACCAATTTTTTCGAGAAAAATAAATTTTGTTTCAACTGCTAAATTCATTGGAAAAAAATTTGTCGAGAAAAAGGTCAAATTTCAACGCTTTTAGAGAAAAAACATCATTTTTGTTTTGTGAAAAATAAAAAAAAAGGTTGGTCAAATCACTCGAAGTGATATCTCACATTGGAGATGAGACTTCAGTCATTACATAGGGCCTGTTGAGACTAGAAGAAACTTAAAAAGAATCCTTCCCATGCGCTGTCCTTTTTGGAATTGTCACTGTTATATGATACTTATAAAAAAATTGGACAAATGAATTGTAGCCTAAAACTTTGCCCATCGACAGCTCTTGAACTCATTAGAATCTTCTAAAAATGTCAATCAAAAAGAATAATCTCTTCTCGAGATAAGAAAACTAAATTTTTCGTCCTCTTGGTGGAATATCATGATTTTTTTGTGAATTTGATATCTCGAGAAGAGACCATTCTTTCTGACTGAAACTTTTAGGACATTCTAATGATTTCAAGAACTTTCTATGGACAAAGTTTTAGATCAAAATTCGTTTGTCCAATTTTTTTAAATAGATATCGTGTGCAGAGTAAAGAATTCAATACTCCAAAAGAGCAGCACATGAGGAAGAATTCTTCTAAATCTTTTCTAATCTCACCAGGTCCTATTTCATACATGGAATAAACACTCAGTTAGCGCAAATGCTTCCGACTACACACATGTTTTATAAAAACATTGGTTTTTAAAGGTTTTTTCGCGCTATCTTTCGTCACAGAAGTATTTTGAGAGAAACAAAACACATTTAAAACTAACGTGCAAAACTTCATTGAGTGATGTAGAATTTGTCAACCTTTAAAAAATTTTTTCACAGAAATTTAGGATATGACATTTTCCATCAATCTTATTTTTGAGTACAAGAAGCTAAGATTTCTATAAAAAAGAAAAATTCGTTTTTGACAGAAAATATGTCTATATTCTCAATAGATATTATCCAATGTATTCTAGACGATGAAAACCTCTGTAAATGTCATAAGATGAATTGCTGAAAATTAATCTTGGACAAAATCTCTTTTTTTCTCTTGTCTGATGACATGATTTTCAAAGAATTTATAATTTAGGAGTTATAAGATAAATTAAAGAAGAGATCTTTTTTTGAAAATTGTATCAATTAGATGAATTATTTGTTTAATTTGACAAAAAAAAAAAATTTTTTTCTTTTAAATATTTAACTAAATTGAAATAAATGTTTTTCCAGATCAATTTTCAATAATAAACATTGATTCAAATTTTATGAAAACATACTCACAAAATTATTCTTTATGACCCAAACATTAATGATAATAATCATTTTTATAATATATCGAAACTTTTTTGTTAACTTTTTCTTTTTTTTATTATATGTTATGAATGATTCAAATGCTTTTATACATTATAAA